CAACCTTTTATGGTCTGATTTTTCAAGATGGTTCATATTAGGATTGAGGTGAAATATTTTCTTATATGCAGGCAAGGATGCAGTTGGTAAGCTACTCAGATTCCATAAAATCTATCATTATAAGAAATACATTGCTAGATTTCTGCATTAGTGTGAAAAGACAGTATCTTTTATTTCTTCTATTATGAAAGACTTCTGTCAGTGGAAATGTATAATGGTGGATTCAAAAACAATTGAAAGTCTTCAAGTTGCTACGCTAGAGGCAAGAAAAAATTTCAGTGCTAATATCTCATTAAACTGAAGTAGAAAGTAGATTGGGGGGGCGGTGGTGTTTCTTGCAAGTATGCATGTTCCTCTCGGAAGAATTTGAACGATGTTGATAATTGATTCATGCAGCTAGTAACTGAGCAAAAGGCAGCCGTCTTCTAGGGTTGGCTTAAAAACCAAACACAAATTTACTAGGTATCAATGCTGCTCTCATTCCCTCAGAGCATGATTTCTGTCCTCTGAGTCAAGGTTACTGCATCTGAAGCAGTACAGTTACAGAGAGTAATGTGCCAAGTTCTGTTATTTACCTTTGATGTGCTTCTCTATCTATGTTTCCTTGGACATCTCATCTCTCATGACTTTATCTAACAACTACATAGGTCAGTATTTCTCGGTCTTGAGCAATATAGGGACGGACTGCTGCAACAATTCCTCAGTACCGAATGAAAAGTTGGACTACTTATATGCTTTGACTTGAATAGGTACAACTCAAGCAAGAGACACATACTGTTCCATGTCCTGATTCTTAAGTAGCTATGAAAAAAACCAAGTTTACAAATTACGTACAGAGAAGCTAGATAAGCAATGGGATTTAAATCAATTCAGAGACATGGCTGATGTATTATGGAAACAAAACTCACCGTTCAAAACATCAGCATGGCTCTGCCTGCCTGCCAAGTTGCAGGCCCCTTTGGATCCAATCGGCTTTGTTTATTTACTTACTTTTAAAATTTTGCTTGAATGACCTCTCTACCCTGCTTCCCCAAAAGTAAGACATCCCTCGAAAATAAGACCTACTTACAGTTTTACCTCTCGCTGAAATATAAGGGATCCCCCCCCAAATAAGACCTCCCCGAAAATAAGACCCCCTGAAGCTACCGTAACTCTGGACTCTGGACCATAGCAGTGGGTGCCTCTGCGCAGCTCACTTTTGGCCACAGTGCAGCCAGAGCAGACAGGATGTGTGAGGTCTCTTTTAGTAAAACAATAAAACAGTAAACAATAAATGTGTATCATGTTCTTCTTCATGGAAAAATAAGACATCCCCTGAAAATAAGACCTAGCGCATCTTTGGGAGCAAAAATTAATATAAGACACTGTCTTATTTTGGGGGAAGCAGGGTATTGAAACTATGCTGAAACTGTTCTCTTTTTCTTTAATTTATTTTTGAATGGTTCATTGATGTACAATTCATACACATTTCATAGGTCACCCACATTCCTAAGAGTTGTGCAATCATCACCACTATTAATTCAGGATATTTACTCGTCCTTGTATTCATTGTTAGCTCTGAAATTAATCCTTATGCACTTCCTGTGGGGTGTTAAATTTTTTTTATGTCATCTGGGTAAATACATCATTTATGTATTAAGTTGGCCTGTGAGACTTTCTCATGAGTTGGCAAAAAAAAAAAAAAGCACTAGAGATCATTTGTAAATATAAATGGAAAGGTTGACAATGAAAACCTGGGCACTATTTGATATACCATGGCTACACAGAAGGTCCCAAATATTGCTACTTTTTAAAAAGATTCATATAGCAAAGCATTGGCCATTTTAATCCCTGTTACCATTAATTTTTAAAAAATCATTTTATTGGGGGCTCTTACACCTCTTATCATAATCCATCCATCCATTGTGTCAAGCACATTTGTGCATAAGTTGCCATCATCATTTTCAAAACATTTGCTTGACTCACTCTCTGTAAGACATCTTTATTGACAAGTCACATGGAGTTATGCTGATGCAGCCAGAACCCTGGAGCTGGAGGAGCCATGTGGAGACCCAGGCCAGCGCTGAGATGCCTCTACCACCACTGGATCCACAAGACTTTCCACCTACTGGTCTGTGATCTTCCTGCATTCGGCATTATTGCATGGCTGCATACGCCTAGAGGAATTTATGGACTAGTATTGACCTATGGGCTAATATTGGACTTAAGAACTTGATGTGGACTGGGCTGGGATGTTTCTCAATGTATAATTGCTCTTTTATATAAAGCTTTTTCTTATGTAAAGAAAAAAACCAACAAAACAACAAAACTAATTTTCTTTCTACTTGAGCCCTTGTTATGAACTCATTTTTTTCTTCCCCTCCCCCACTCTCCCTCATGAACCCTTGATCATTTATAAATTTTTTTTCATGTCTTACACCAACCGCTGTCTCCCTCCACCCACTTTTCTGTTGTCTGTCCCTGGGAAGGGGTTATATGCCGATCATTGTGATCGGTTCCCCCTTCTTCCCCCCACCTTCCACTTACTTTCCTGGTATCCCTACTCTCATTGGTCCTGAGGGGTTTATCTGTCCTGGATTCCCTCTGTTGGGAGCTCTTACCTGTACCAGTGTATATGCTCTGATCTAGCAGAATTTGTAAAGTAGAATTGGGGTCATGTTGGGGGTTGTGGAAGAGGAGCATTAAAGAACTAGAAGAAAGTTGTATATTTCATCGGTGCTATACTGCACCCCGACTAACTCGTTTCTTCCTTGCGACCCTTCTGTAAGGGAATGTCTACTTGTCTACAGATGGGCTTTGGGTCTCTACTCCACCCTCCCCCTCATTCACCTCAATATGATTTTTTGTTTTGGGTCTTTGATGCCCGATACCTGATCCCATCAATAACTCATGATCAACAGGCTGATGTGCTCTTCCATGTGGGCTTGGTTGCTTCGGAGCTAGATGGCAGCTTGTTTATCTTCAAGCTTTTAAGACCCCAGACGCTATATCTTTTGATAGCAGGGCACCATCAGCTTTCCTCACCACATTTGCTTATGCACCCATTTGTCTTTAGCATTCCTGTCAGGGAAGGCGAGCATCATAAAGTGCCAGGTTATTAGAGCAAAGTGTTCTTGCATTGAAGGAGTACTTGAGTGGAGGCCCAATGTCTGTCTGCTGCCTTAATACTTTGTTATATATAAATATATTTACATATGTACATGCCTGTATTTAGATCTCTATAACTGTCCTTTCCCTCCTAGTTCTCTCCGTTAATTTTTAAAAAATTGTCAAAGGTATACAAACATGAAAGTTGAAAGTCTTCACTAAGAGCTGTCAGCTTCTGTGTTAGAAAGAGATGTGCCTCCCGTAGCCCCTAAAAGGAACAATGTGTCCCGGGTGTGGTCACAGAGCCCCAGCTCTCAGTTCCTTCTGGGTTTGCTAAAATGCAATGCTTTACCGTGCCTACGAGCTTGTCCTTGTAGACACCCATGTCTAAAGAGAAATAGAACTATTTGCTGGAATAGGGACAACTCTGATGGGCTGTACATGCTTAAGAGCTCCCTGTGGGTTTGAGGAGAGTTTGTCTGCATGCGTGGCAGCTGTGCTTCTTCCTCTGTGGAGTCCACCTTCCCATGCTCAGCCATGACCTATGATACTGAATGGCTTCTCTGCATACCCACCGTCCCTTTAGGGTCTGCTTTAGAACCCAGCCAGTGAGTGCTCCTAAGGATCTCTCCGAGGAGTCCCCAGAGGAGTGAGAATGCCTCTTCCATAGCCCTGAATCTTCTTCCAAGCTGCTACTCTGAGACATCCATGGTGTACGTCCCAACATTTCAAATCCAACAGGTCCAAATACAATGCATAACTGGTCCTTGAAGCTTATGCCGCAGAGCAACTCGTGTGTGTGCATGTGTGTTCCCTGCATTTTATTGCTTATGAAATGGCACTGGATGGTACTCCCACGGGCTCAAATTAGTGGGTTAATTCTGACTTCTCACACCTTTGGTTGTAGATGCTGGCAATTATTCATGCTTCCCAACATGGGAAATGAGCACTTGCGCATTTCTCAAGGGACTCACTGTTCTCTAAGCAAGACATTTGACTGAAATTCTCATGGAAGCATCTCCTTCTCTTAGGGTGTCTACTTGTAAAAATAACTTTATCAGGTGAGGAGGATAATCAAAGCTAATCCTTATGAGGTGGAGGCACACATTCAGACACCAACTTTCTCTCCCACAGGACTATTTCTCTGCTGGACCCAATAATTCATTATAATGGCCATAAAGAACTTGCAAACCATAATGATAGTTATGGTTTATTAGGAAAATAGCAGGTTACAATTCAGGTTCAAGAATGCTCAGGATACAGTTAGTCAACCTGATGAGCTCTTCTCATTCTCCTTTGAATTACCCTTTTGTTTCTTAAATCTGTAAAACCCACGCCGAGATGCTTAGCCAACAGATTGGATAAAGCTTCTCAAGTTCCTGCTTTGTTTCACAGCAGCAAGTTCACATGGGGTGCCCGAGGAGGAGGAGTGTCCTTGCTTTGATCACAATATCTGTAAATTTACTTCCCAGTTCGATTCCTTTTCATCTTTTAGTTTCCAATTCCCTTCAATTCTATGAACTGAAAAATATCCTCTCCCCTTTCTTGAAAGACACACATAACATTCTAATCCACAAATTGGCTACTTATTTTGGAAAAAACAGACAAGCATGTGGGCTTACATATTAAATTCAGAAGCAATGCTTCCTGGGGCGCTGGTGGTAATCAATGTCCTAGGCAACACTTTTCTTTCTACCCGGAACATGAGCCCAGTCACTGAACAGAAACAGTGGTTTTGTTCCCTTTTAAGATCAAATGCATTCAATCTCTTCTATTTCGCTAATCAAGGCAGAAAACCATGGCTTAGTACATACAAACATGGTAAATTTATAAGTAAAGACTAATATGTATGTGCATGTTACCATGTGTCCTAGGCATCTAGAAAAATGTGTAGATCGCTTAAACCAGTCAGCTCAGTGAAAGGTACTGACGTTTAAAATGGAAAGTTGTGTTGTCAGTTGAAAGTGAGAAACTGAGATATTTGTGAAGGAGACGTTTTCAGGAAAGCAGTAGAACATTTCCTGTCCGTGGGTGCAGTCTTGAGGATGTGCAATAGCCATGACGAATCCAACAGCCATCACCACGAGGCCCATAAGAAGCATGACACAGGACATAATCTTATCTGCGTGTGTCCTTGGCTCTTCCGACAGCTTTAGATAACATGCTGATGGGATGATAAAAATCAGAGGAGCTGCACAGAGCACACCCTGTGTGTTGAAAACAAGAAAGGAGATAATTTCATCAGACAGCAACATTCTTTGGACAGATTTTGAAAATTCATTTGCTATTGCATGGATTATAAACTCTAACAAGTCCAGTTGCAACAAAGAAAGGCAAAGCACTTGAAGAAAGGCTCAGCAACAGCTTTTTCCTTTCCTGATGGTCTATTTGCAAACAAACCAAAAGTACAAAATAACATAACAGTATACCAGACTTAAAAGAGGAGCAGGAAATGAGAAGATGGTAAAAAGCAACTTCGGCAACCTCTTGAGATTCCCCATGTTTCCATTTGTATCATATTTCCTTATAATTTTCCTTCATTGCCAACAACAGTGTATATGCTATGCTGTTCAAATCCTAGCTGACTATAATTTGGATAAAAGAGGATATATTTTTTTAATATAAGGAGTATTGCTTTCTCTCTTTACTTGAGGTTAGATGAAAGTAGAAACCTATATGAATGAGAGAGGAAAACTAATAGCCCCAAAGGTATTCAATCTGAAATAGCATTTCTAAATCTTCTTTCAAAAAAACTAGACCCATTACACCTGAAAATTGACAGCAGAACCGTGAGTGGGTCTCCAATCCCCCCTCCCCGACCCTATTGTGAGTTTACAGGTAAACCCAACCTGAAAAGGAATGTCAGACTGAAAGCCGGGCTGTAGTGTTATGAGGAGCCCTGGTGACATAGTGAAGGAGTCCTAGTGGGACCAGTAGTGGTTAGCAGTTCTGCTGCCCGCATTTGAAAACTCGGGGGTTGTTTGCCGATGGACCTGAACTCATCATTAAAATGATCATGAGATTCCACCTGACCTAGTTAGTCCCCGTGGAAGGAGCCCTGATGGCCCTCTCAGGTTTGCTCCTCAGAAGAAAGTGGAGACGATCCTGCTCCGGTAAAGATCCGCAGCTGTGGAAACACTAGCCCAGGTCGCTGGGAATCAGAATGGAGTCTTGGGCAGTGAGTTCTTTAGTCCCTATAAGCTTTGCAGTGATGCAAACCCACTTTATCGGATCTACTTATTGTAGCCTTGCTTAAGGATGAATTTACTTGGCAGAATGTGACTATCATAAGTGCTTATTACAGAGACAATAAAATGTAATCTTATTTATAAAGGCAGAGAACACTATTCGTTGATGCTCAGCATTTGCGTTTCCTAAAGAATTTGATGTTTGTTTTTAGTTCTTGAGAGATAACTTCAAAAACCTTAGAATCACTCCAGATATTGCAATGTTTTCCATGAGACTTCCAGATGACACCGCCCTTTGGGTGGGAACCGGCCAAGTCAGAAAGGACACTTGGTGATTATCAGCCAAACCTCAGGGAATTAGTCACCAATACCTACATCTTGAGGACACCCCCCCTCCATCAAATAAGGTCCGTGGGCTTCCTTGCGTAGAGAGTGATGGGTACTTTGGGGGGCACAGAAGCGCCATGTGGTGGACTCTCCCAGGGTACACGGTCATTCTTTTCTTTGCACCGACCTTGGGTTTTCTCCTCTTGGTAACCGTTAAATATCTGTCTGTATGTTTCGATCCTAGTGAGTTAGTGAACAAAAGGGGTAGTGGGAGCTAGCAAGTCACAATGGAGTGAGCAGGGGACCCCTGAGTTTATGGCTTGCATCCTGGAGGATAGAGCACATTTCTGAATTTTCTGCTAGCAGGACAGAAGTGAGGCAGTTGGGTGGACTTCAAAGCTCATGGCTGGAGTCTGACGTCGTGGCTAGACATTGTTTTGAGAATTATATCCTTACACGTGTGAGATCTGGTCTCTCTCTGGGTGGATGGGGTCAGAGAAAGTCCTGCAGCTGGAATAGAATGAAAGTAAAGTGGAAATTTGATTTTTCTACCCCAGGACACTTTGCAGTTTGCAGTAGGAAAAAATAGAAGTATTGGAAAATTTTCCCAGCAATAGAGACCAGAAAATCCTCCTATCTGGCTGGAAAGCTCTCAAATGATGCTAAGAACTAGAAAACTAAATTACACAATATGTCCACATGGTCCAAATCTCTATTTTGTAGTAAATCTAGAAGTCTAGACTCAGGAAATTTATTTCTGTACCTTACAAAGAAACAATCTCTAGCTCAGGATGTCTTTGGCAACTTGGACCACCCGTTTGCTCACCCTAATGATTGGTATTTCTCTATCAGACTTGCTAAGTGGTTGGCTTTTTCTCCTGCCATTGTGAGCTGCCCATAGTGCTTCTTGAGCCAGTTATACCGGCCACAGGCACTAGCTGCTTTATCTTTTAAAATTTGCACTGCTCCAAGTAGAAATCCATCAGGCCTGATCCCTGCAGATACCAATTCTCTCTAACATGGACACCAGTGCCAAGTATTACTAAGAATGGAACTTAAATTTGTTTTATTTAGTTCTCCAATGAATCCTTTTAAAAATGAGAACCTTTTTGTTTTGGAAAAATATGTCATGAAATTAAAGAAATAAAAGGGAAGTAAAGGTCTAAACACTGTTTTACTATGTATTGAAAAGCCCCAGATAATTTATATTATATTAGTTATCCTATATAACAGCATTTGCCTAAGTTTGCAAATGAAAGACCCGACTCTATTATACATTGTATCTGTGAAGATGAGTCTCTTACAATTTCCTCAAACTTACTGCCATGCAGCCAATGCTGACTCATAGTGACCCCTGTGGGTCTCTGAGACTGTAACTCTTTACAGGAGTAAAAAGTCCAGTCTTTCTCCCGCAGAGCGGCTGATGGTTTCGACAGCTGCTGACCATGAGGATCACAGCTGAATGCAATGACTGCACGGCCAGGGCTCACTCGTAAAGCACGTTCTCGGTGCCCAATTCAGCACTGCAGCGGCATAGGCCTTTCTACCGTCTGCTCTCTTCCCACAGCCCCACGACCCAGCCGCTCTGCATCCTCCAGGTCTTAGTTTGTAGCTTAGGACCCACTGCTTTGTGAACTGGGGTCCCTAACTGTGAGTCTGTGGAGCTACTGGTGTTTAAAGGTTCCATCTTCATTAAAGCGTGCATCACCTTAAACATCTCATTCAAAGATGTACCCTTGTCTTTTTAAAACTTCCTGTTTCCTAGTCAATCAGCGTTGACATACAATTTCCCCCCAGGTTTATAACCATAGCTTATTTAAGTGCACTGCAAATATTTAAGTATGATGAAAACAGGGAAAAAATGAAAACATATGCATCATCTCTGGACTCAGTGCCGAGGAAAATGACCCGTTTACTAAACCAAATTTATATTCTAAATAATTTGTAATATTAATAACTTTTCAACTGGTACTATATAAGGTTACAACAGTGACTGGGAGTAGTCCCTATTTACATTTTAAAAAGTGGAAATTCAAAACTTATATTAGTTGCACAATCCAAATTCCTAAATAATTTTAATTAATAAAGATGACCGAAGGGGGGAAAAAAAAAATATATATATATATATAAATTCAGGACCACAATAATAAGAGAATCAAAAGAATTCCTAAAGTACTACAATGATTAACTAAGGTGGAAGTTATTAACAAAAAATTATGATAAGGCTGAAAAACTTTTAGTTCCATTTGATCTCAATTCTTAGTATTTATTTTCATCTAGTTTTAAAGTCTATCCATTAGTAGTTTAAGGAATCCTTAATTGTATAAGGATTACTCTTAACTTCACTTCTAACTAAGTCCAATGCACCAATTGCCAGCGTTAAAAAATGGATAGAGAAATGAACACAACTATTTTATAAAACTCAAAGCCTTATGCTTAGGAATTCCCAGAATAACATAATGATAAACAATGTGATCAACAATATCTGAATACTTGTTTTCAAATCTTGATTCTACCACTACAAGTTGTGTGGCCTCAAACTATTTATTTAGTCATTCTTGCCCCTGTTTTATCTGCCAGCTTCATATGGAGCTAGGGAGGTGTGTTGCTGTTGCTGTTGTTGTTAGGTGCCGTGGAATAGGTCCCAGCCCACAGCCACCCCATGTGCCGTATAACGAATGAAGCCCTGTTCTTAAGCCTGAGCCTATTGTTGCAGCTACTGGTGTCAATGCACCTTGTCAAGGACCTTCCTCTTTGTTGCTGTTCCCCTACCTTATCACATCTGATGTCCTTTGCAAGGGGGTGGTCTCTCCTGACAACAGGACCTAAGTATGAGTCTCATCATCCTTGCTTCTGAGGACCGTTCTGGCTGTACTTCTTCCGAGACAGAGCTTTTTTGTTTTCTTTCTTTCTTTCTTTCTCTCTCTCTCTCTTTCTTTCTCTTTCCCAAGTAAGAACATCATTGTATTTTCTTACAGGTAAGTCTTTTATTGACTCAACTCTTTTTCAAATTAAAAAGATAAAACAATGCTTTGAACTGGATCACTTGGACCTTTCTCTTCCTATCACTTCCCAGTTCAAAATGCTTGCATCTCTTAGTGGCCAGCATCCTCTTGGACCTGTAATTGGGCTCAACACACTTCAGCCTCCCCACAGTCTTCCGGAAAAGAATCATTGCCCTTCATCTACTGGGTCACTTTGTGAGGTTGATGCTTGCGCATTTCTTACAGAAAGTCCTGTGGGTTTTAGGTGCATTGACCATCTTTGCAGTGATGTGGTCTACACAGTGTAAATGGGGAACTTGAGCATGCTTGCATCGCTCCGCTCGTGCCTAACCCAAAAGGGTGGACTGAATGATGTTTGTTCTTTTGGCAGCCTGTGGTACTTTCCGTATTCTTCACCAGCATCATAATTCAAATGCATCGATTCTTCCTCAGCCTTCCTTATTCAGTGTCTAACTTTCGCCTGCATATGATGCTATTGAAAGTACCGTGGCTTGGGTCAGGTGCACCTCAGTCCTCAAAGTCACATCCTTGCTTTTCAACAATTTAAAGAAGTTTCATGCAGCACAGTTACTCAATGCAGTGCATGTCTGGATCTCTTGCCTGTTACTTCCATGAGCATCGATGGTGCATCCAATAGTATGAAATCTTTGATAGCTTCAATTCTTTTTTTCTTCATTTATCATGATGTTACCCCCTGGTCCAGTTGTGAGGATTTTTGTTTACTTTACACTGAGTTATAATTTGTACTGAAGATTGTAATCCCTGTTCTTAACCAGCAAGTGATTTAAGTCCTCCTCATTTTCAGAAAGCAAGGTTATGCCACCTGCCAATCTCAGGTTGTTAGAAAACTTTCCTCCTCTCATGAGGCTGTATTGTTTCTGACTCCTAGTGGCCGCGTGCACAACAGGACAAAACACTGCCAGGTCTTGGCCATCCTCGGAACCGTACTGTGCTTGAGGCCCTTGCCAACACTCAGTGAGATGATCCATGCAAACCATTTGGCACAGAGCAAGCACTCTGCTAACTGTCATTAGCATTATGATTTGGGGCAGAGCATGCTTTAATTACTGCTAATATGTTGTATGACCCCAGCATGCATTTGATTCTGACAGTAATGCTGTTTCCTTTGGCTCCATTAGACATAGTAGATTCCCATGCAAAGGGAGTGGTGCAAAAACCTACATATGTCATTGTCAATTCCAGAAGGTGTTTGTTGATGGGAACGACCTATGTCCAGGTAGTCTGACAGAGAAGAGATGTATGAGTAAGTTATACTGTCTTCCTAACCAGATTTCCTAAGTATCACAGTTTTAATAGTCCTCCATAACTAGTTTAGCTTTGACTTAATAAAAAATACAAAATGTTCTTTTCTGATTACAATAGCAGAATTCTGTCTTATCCTGAGAAAGTTGATAAACACATTCTTCTCACAATAAAGTATGACAATAAAAAAAGTGAATTGAAATGAGACGATTTATGTAATAAGAAATAACGGGGCAGGGAATGATTGTGTCTACCATCTACCTTCTTGCAAGACATATGGCTACAGTGCCCTTAGACACAAGGGTGGCGAGACTTCGTCTTACATATGAGGACATACTATCAGGAGAGACCAGTCCCTGGAGAAGGACGCTAGGCTAGATAACGTGGAAGGGCAGTGAAAACGAAGAAGCCCTCACTGAGATGGATCGACACACGGCTGCAACAATGGGCTCACACGTAGGAACTCCGTGAGGATGGTGCAGGGCTGGGCTGGGTTTCGTTCTGTTGTGCACAGGGTTACCATGGGTGGGAACTGACTCGAGCCACCTAACAACAACAACAACAGCCGTTTTCAGGGCATAGTTGACATCACTATTAATGCCAAAGTCAACGAGGTTGTGTCAAACTGGCTTTCCCGAGGCCACACTCAAGAACACCTTTTATATCTAGGAGAAACGGGTTCTGCGTGGAGCACGCTGGGTCCAGCACCACGACCGACACCATGGAGGATGGAAGAAGCTACTGTTCTGCTCTTCATGTAATTTGGTAGGTAAGTGATAGATTGTCCAAGAAGCACATGATATTAAATAATAAATAACGAAAGATAATGACTTGAGGTAGCAGGCATCCATTTGCACAAATCAAGTTTGGTATATACAATGAACTCGAGTAGCTATACCTGATGGTGTAATGGTCTATGCATTGGGTTGCAGCCTATATGGTTGGCAGTTTGAAATCGCCAGCAGCTCCACAGGAGAAAGACTTGGCTTTCTGGTGCCATAGTCCCAGAGACTCACAGGGGAATGCTGAGTCAGCACTTACTCGATGCCGATGAGTTTTGAGTTTTCCTGGCCTTTAGGCTATGCGAAATTGGGAAGTAGCTAAATAAACCTTGACACTTGTCCACCTCTCCAGCTTTCTCTCCATTGTTCCTAACGTAGGTCATTCCCCAGCCCCTAAAGTTTTAGAAAGCTGTCTACTTGTTGGACCCTGCCTGCTTCCCAAAGTCCGTTTAATCTGCTGTACGAAAATTCCCAAGACTGTGCTTGGGACAGAATCTCTAACTGAGTCCCCGTTAGAGATTGGGGACTTCAAATCGAAATGGCATCCGGAAGGAAGAGTGAATTGGGTAAGGACAATAATATCTTCAATCCCTTCTTCAACTCTACGGGGAACGAGGAAAGGAGAATTGACAGGGGAACTGGAAAATGCTGTCCTCTCTGCGTTACATGAATTGTAAGTGCCAAGTGCTATATGTTTTAGTAAATCCAGGGATTTACTAAATCCTTACACAGTCTAAGGATTGTGATTGACTTATTTCACTCAATATATTGTCTTCAAAGTTCATCCAGGTTGTAGCATATCTTATCATATATTAGGATGTCGTTTCATTTTATGGCTGAGAAATATTTCATTGTATGTATGCATATGCCACATTTGATTCATCCATTCATCAGTTGATAGATATTTAGGCTGTTTCCACCTTTTGACAACTGTGAGAAGGTCATGCACACATTTTTAAATGAATTTCTCTGGAGTTCTTTTTACTTGACAAAGAAAATTTCAGCTCCATTTAATTCATAGGGTTTTTGAGGTAATATATATGTATTATACTACATGATATATGTAAATATCATTAAAAACAGTATTTCTAAAACTCAACACTATTGAAATCTTGAGCTAATTAGTGGGGGGGGGCTGTCTTGTACACCGTGGGATGCTTTTGGGTAGCATCCCTGGTCTCTATTCACTAGATACCCATAAACCCCTTCCCTAGTTGTGACAACCAAGAAGTGTCCAGCTACTACCAGATGTTCACTTTTGTGAGGGCCTTCCCAGTTGAGAACCACTTCTCTAAAAGTATATAGAGCCCTATACAGCGCACAACATCATCATACCTGTCAACATATTTACTACTATGTATGAACATTTTATGGGACATTTTTTTGGTGACACTTTTATGAAAGGAAATATATCTTTTGCCCCCCTACTCTTTATTTTATTTTTATTTTTGAATCATTTAATTGGGGACTTGTACAACTTTTTCACAATCCATCCAGCCACCATGTCAAGCACATTTGTACATTTGTTGCCATCATCATTTTCAGACCAGGAAAGGAAGTATATCTTACGTTAAATGTCAACAGTGCCTTTTTAAAGGGGCTTTAAAATGGAAGGAGTGAACCTTTAAAAGTACTTACATTGAGCTCTAAAACGATTCCAAGGCAGTCAATCAGCAAAGACACAAGTGTGGCCACAATAGTGATAACCACTGTTATGATAACGTGGAAAGTGGTTGAAAGGCTCCCGCCAAAAAACACATTGGCAATTACCTGTCAAGTAAGCAAAATATTTAGTGAGGACTATTCAGGAGCATTCAGGTCTTCCTTATAAAACATTTCTTATTAGAGTACTTCCCCAAACTTAAAACGCAAACTCATTGCCATCAAGTCAGAACACTAGCATGGTGATTTATCAAATCTCCAGTCCCTGTGAATGTTCTGTCTTCCCCAGAGTACTTACATGTGGACACTTAACAGAAAGGAGCATTCTTTGAAAAAATATTAGGCAGGAGCTTGTACAAAGGGCTCAAGTAGAAAGAAAATGTTTTGGAAATTATAATGGCAACATATGTACAAAAGTGCTTGATACAAATGATGTGTGGAATGTTATAAGAGCTGTAAGAACCCACAATGAAATGATTTTTTAAAATATTAGGCAGTGAGTGGATTCAAATATGGTATAGAAATGTTTCTATGACGATTACTCTGGAAGAAGGGAGAACTTAAAGACTACGTTATCCCTTGGATAACGGATCCCAACAAGATTACTACCAGAACAGCCTACAGATGACATTTAGACGATTTGACCAACCTGGAGGGCAGGCCTTCCCAGGATATATGCGTAATGCCCTTCGTTGTCAGGTGCCTTCCATGTATTTTGATCCTGTGTGACTTCAAATGGTCGCGTAGAGCCCCCTAAGGACCCTAGGCTGCAATCTTTATGGAAATAGATTTCCAGGCCTTTCTCTTGGGAAGTCACTGAGTGCACTTGGACTCCCAATCTTTCCACCTGTAGCCAAGCACTTAACTGTCACACCACCTGGGCCTCTTGACGCTTTACATTTAGTAGGAGTTGCTTTTTAACTAAAACGTGTAAATTTTGTTTCCATTTAATTCTACTTTTTCTTGCCTTTTCTCAACAAAAAGTAGAGGAGTTGGTCGATATGTTCCAAGAGAGTCAAATCAGTGGAGCAATAAGCATCACGTATTTAACATATCCCACTCTGTAACATGACGTGCGAGGAGAAAATGTCTAGAAGATGATTCCTATTGTCAGGTTTTAGCTTCCTAATTAGAGAAATGCAAATCAATATATGTAATGAAACAAAGAGATCGACGTAAGATAAGGAGGGAAAAAGATTAAATAGAATATAGGTTTAGAAATAGTTTTAGTTGTCGGAGCTATCTCCAATAGATTAAGGAACCCGTGCTTGTCCTACCTTGGCTTGAGATGGGGTTTAAAACAAGGATCACATTTGGACAAGGAGGAACAGAAATCCAGGCTGATGCAGCAATGTGGGAAAAAGAACAAACAGGCAAGACCAGGAATAATGACCACAGAGATCAGAGAGGGCCGTTTGAAGATGGTGTGGGCTCTGTCCAAAGAACAGTGAGCCAAGAGTTGGGAATGGTTAGAGGCTCAGATGGTGGTGGGCTTCATAGATGCCAGCCCCTGAAACTGTGTTACTTTATATAAGTCGCATCCCCCCTAGACCTGCAGTCACTTCACTTATATTTAATGGTGGTACGAATGGCATATACTCCTTTATGGGTTTATACTGTATAGGGCCCTTTAAAATACTAACTTACATAACACAAATGTTTATAGAATTATCTGAGATACAGTTGTGATGGTGGAAAATCAGTTAGTGACTCAGCCTAGTGAGGGATGCTTTTTATGCAAATAATGTGCCCATTATATATTTTCACAAACTGCACAAACCCTATGTGTGTTAGTTTCTTATGCTTATTTTATGCACGTGGGAGCCTTAGATGAAAAACATGGCATTGGGGCAGACAGTCTTTATAGAAAGACATGGATTTGATTATGTCTGTGCCATGCTGTTTGTGCACTTGTGCATGTGTGCGCGCGTGTGTAAGGGCGATAAAAAGACAGGAAATAAGTGAGTTAGATATAAATGAGGCTCTGCTGCTGGTTATTGGCCATCGTGGCAGGGATCTTGATTTCAGTCTGTCTTCCTGTCGTGACTCAGAAGGAACCACAAACTGGGAAGTACTCAGACACAAACTGTACTGGTGGAGTGATTCACAGTGTCCACAGACAGATCACCCCAAACCCACAGGGGACGGTACTATCTGTTCCTGCTCATCCACAGATCAAATCTGAGCCTGAAGCACTGAGTCGAAGCTAAAACAAAACCATTTCCCACACCGAACAATAGTTAGCCTAGTTTGGAAAGGCTCTCAAAAACAACCACCAAAAATCTCCCCCAAACCCAAACCACCTCTATCCAGGAAGCATTTGTTCAGGCTGTGTCCCCCTTGTATTCAAAGTGGAGAATGACCTGTGGAGAACAGACTGAAGACAAGGAACACTGCTCGTTGTAAAGGGCATCAACAAACATTTCATTACCCCACACCCCCTTTGGGCAATTTCTTCTGCCCAGCATTGGCATCAGGTAAGCGTTGGCTTGCCTCTAGAAGCCTGTGGATGGGTGAGTGTATTGAAAGCTCCGTGGACTTTTCCCTTTACACATTAGACCCATTCACACGGGGTGCTGGGAAAACAGCCTCTAGGATTAGATCCTGAGACTGTGCCCTTTTCAGTGTGATTCCTGAAAGAACCACTGTGAAGCCCCATCAGGTTTTCCCACTAACTGCACAGTGGATACGTTAGCTGACTGCATAAGGGACCCCTGACCCGCCACGCTGTCCAGTTTTACACAGAAAGAAAAGAATCAGTTCTCTTTCAGCTAGTCTTTCTCCATGTATCTAGGTGGAGCACATCACATAATTTGTAGTTAACCTTCTTCTTAACTCATAAGCATACATGTCACATAAAATATGTGCATGTGTCATGTATTATCCATATTTAAATATATCATATAAAGTAAATAACAAATTACATTAATAGTCTATGTAAATAGGTACAGTTTATATGTAAGATATTTTGATATCTAGAACATTATGGATTATGATTATACTCATTTTATAAACATCTAAACATAACTTTATCTCTCAACTTTGATATTTCATAGTTTAAAAAGAAAAATTCAATCATTGTTTTACTTGTTATACATTTGGGAATGTGAAGAATTGAATTACAGCAAACAGAGTAGAAAGAGCAGCTGAGTAAAGCTGAGTAAACTAAGTTATAACAAATTTTTATTTTCAATGGAAAATAAGATATTTTAATTAAAAATCTTAACAGAAGTGATTAGAATATAGATATACATATTTTAAACCAAGTAGAAAGAAAAGATTTTATAAAATATGTCTTAAATCTTGGCACTTATTTTTTATAAGAATTATTTAAAAATAAACAAACATAGTTTAGTTGATCTCACTTTGATATATTGATATCTAAAGTTAAATACTTGTGCTCATGTTAATATAAACTAAACCACCAAACAAGATTTTCAACTTTAACTTGTGAAAAAGTTTATCTTATAAAAATCTAAACATAAATGTACCTTTCAACTCCAACATTTTGTAATTGAAAAACAACAACACTTTTATACGTTATGCTAACTGTCATGCATTTGAGAGATTTCAGAATTGAGTTATTTAACAAATCATGCAACGTAGTAGCAAGACCATCTGAGTCAAGTGTTGCAGAGGCATTACGCTTACCTCTCTCGTTACAAAGCATTCAATGGGGTAGGTCAAAATGACAGTGATTCCATAGCAGAACCTTCCAAATGTTACCAGGTCATCATTTCTGCAATAGTTTTCAAACAAGTCTCCTAGATCATAATAAAAAAGAGAGTTATTCAGACTTCAACCCGGTGCTCCAAGACGTGAATGCAACACGCTGGTATGACGCAGGGAACCAATCCCAATTATGTGGACAGCCCCCCTCCCCCCAGAAGAATTCACTTCAGAGGACAGCCCTGAAGCTACAGCTCAGGGAGAGGTACATGTCTGATCAGAGCACACAGGAGCAAACAAAGGGGTAGGAATAGACAGTGGAGCACATCCTGGCCCAGCAAGCCCTGAGGTGGATATACCTGCTCAGAGCAGCCAATGCACAGAGAGGACCATAGGGCCAGCCCTACTATGAGACATGATGTCCCTCACTGACCCATAGCGCGAAGGGGGGAAAACACTGGAGACACAGTGCAGAAGTTGTGCCCCATCTGACCCCACCACACTGAGGTGAAATACTAAGGGTGTGCAACAGAACAGCAAGGGGAGCAGAGCAATAAATACCAAAAATAGGCTTTGGGACCAGGGCGTGGCACCCCATCAGACTCGACAGGAAAACACTTGTAAAGGTCAACAAACAGACCTTGAATTATTTATAGGCTTTTCTTTTTTCTGGTCATTTTGGTTGTTAGTTGTTGTTTTGTTTTTATTTGTTGCTTTGTTTTGCTCTTTGTTTTTGTGCAAATTATTATTTGTGCACGTCTATCTAGATAAGATAGGTGGGATAAACAATCTGGAGGAGAACACAATGGGAGTGGTGGTTCCAGAGTGGGGATACGGCGGGGTGGGGAGAGGAAGTAGGTGTTAACAAACCCAGGGACAAGGGAACAGCAAGTCATCTAAAATCAATGGTGGGGAGGGTGTAGGAGGCCTGGTACGGCTTGATCAAGGACAATGTAACTGAGAGGCCGAACATGATAGTGGGACAAGAGGAAAGTAAAAGGAAATAGAAGAAAGAACTAGGAGGCAAAGGGCATTTATAGAGGTCTAAACACAGGTTTGTACATATGTAAATATATTTATATATGATGATGGGGAAATAGATTTATGTGCACATATTTATAGGTTTAGTATTAATGTAGCAGATGGACCTCTACTGAAATACTCCCTCAATCCAAGAACACTTTGTTCTATTAAACTGGGATTCCATGATGCTCACCTTCCTGACATGATTGCTGAAGACAAAGCGAGTTCTTAAGCAAATATGGTGAGGAAAGCTGATGGTGCCTGGCTATCAAAAGATATAATGTCTGAGATCTCAAAGGCTTGAAGATAAACAAG